TCGTGACCGGAACAGGGCACCCAGTTTACTGCTGAAATGACCCACCAACTATGGAGGTTATGTGCCCCTATCACCTCCAGATCAATGGCCTGTGCAAGCGCTTCAACTGTGCTTTAAAGCAGAAGCTTCGCACATTTGCAGCGACTTGCAAGGACTAGAAAGGTTCCTGCCGCAGCTCTAGTTTGCCTATTTTGAGATGCCACAGGAATCTACAGGCTTCTCTCCATTCTAATTATTATTCTGGCGGAGTTTAAATCTAGACCTAGTGATGGGAAAAATGGGAGGGTCAAGTAGACCAGGAAGGTACCCCCCATTCCCTATGTCTTGGAGCTTTGGGACCGACTGGAGGAACTCACCTAATTAGTACGTGGGAACCTCCAGACCCCCAGGAATGCCAACACACCTGGTATGATCGAGGAGCCAGGAGCCATAGCTTTCAAATCGGTCAGAAGGTTTGGCAGGACCCATATCGGGTAGTGGAACAGAAATGTGACACTACCTATGTTATCGGTCCATGCTCTGGGGAAGGAGTCTGACACATGTTACATGTTAACATGCTAAAGCCCTACCATGAGCGGATGGAGGATGTAGCCACTATCTGTGCTCCAGCCTCTGAAGATTTTGATAATCAGGCAGGATCCATAGCTGAGGTACAATTAGGAGACTGACTCACAAGTGACGAACGCAGCCAAGCGCAGCAGATGCTGTCTGCAAAGAGGGACACGTTCTCCAACTTGCCCGGATTTACCCCACTAACCACCCATAGGGTAGAAACTCCTGACCAACAACCTCTGCAGCAAACCTCGAACAGAATACCAGAGGCAGTTCAGAAGAATATGATGCAGGAGATCCAGGAGATGCTACAACTGGGGGTAATCGAACCATCTAAAAGTCCTTGGGCTTGTCCGGTAGTCCTAGTCCCAAAACGCAACATAACCACCCGGTTCTGCATGGACTACAGGAGACTCAATGACAAGACAGTCTTGGATGCGTACCCCATGCCTCTTATAGATGAGCTCTTAGGCAGGATGGCTCGTGGTCAGTACCTCACCACTATAGATTTATGTAAGGGGTACTGGCAGATTCCGTTAGTGGCAGATGCTATTCCCAAGCTGGCATTCGTCACTCCTTTTGGACTATACAAATTTAAGGTAATGCCATTTGGAATGAAGAATGCCCCGGCCACTTTCCAAAGGATGGTGGACAGGCTGTTAGATGGCCTCTAGGATTATGTTTGCGCATACCTGGATGACATCGCCGTATACAGCAACACTTGGGAGGAGCATCTGATACATGTAGGGGCTGTACTAGATAAGCTTAGGGAGGCAGGATTAACGCTGAAACCCAGCAAGTGCCACATAGGTATGTCAGAAGTGCTGTACCTGGGACACCAAGTAGTGTGTGGGAAACAGAAACCCGAACCAGCCAAAATTGAGGCAGTAGCCAATTGGCCTCTCCCACACACTAAAACTCAAGTAATGGCATTTCTTAGGATTGTTGGTTACTACCGGAAATTCGTCCCTAATTATTGCATCTAGCTAAGCCCCTCACTGACCTGACCTGCAACAATTTACCTTGCCAAGGGGACTGGATGCCAGAGTGTGAGCAAGCTTTCCAGGAACTTAAGAAAGCCCTGGTGAATACACCCGTCCTGGCAGCTCCTAATCCAAACAAATGTTTTCTCATCCACACAGATGCCTCCATGTTTGGATTAGGAGCATTGCTGAGCCAGGTCGGGGACGATGGCGGAGAGCACCCAGTAGATTACTTCAGCAGAAAGCTACTACCTAGAGAGGTGAGCTAAAGTGAATACAAATACAAAAAGAAAAGTCCTGCGGTAAAAACCAAAGGAAAAACTTTATGATGGGAGTGAGCGCAGGACTTTTCTTTTTGTATTTGTATTCACTTTTTGTATCACACAGCTAGGTTACAATGCTGTCGCCCATCCCATGTGTTCCCTATTAAGGGTTAACAAGTATATAGGGGTGTATATAAAAATACCCCTTTCTGTCTCATTGGAGATATTTTTGCCAGAAGCTCAAGAAAGCAAGGTAAAGGGTCAGAGTAGGACCCGTCTAAGGGGGGGGTCTGCCTTGACGTTGGCAGGCGGGCATTCCCTGCAGTAGCCATTGGAATAACTAAATGACCTCCATTTGTTTAAATATACATAGGGATTAAGGAGAGAGCGCAGGTAACTATTTGTCTTTGCTCACGGATTACAACCCGTTGGTGTGGCTTAACCGGGTCACTGGAGACAATGCCAGGCTAGTACGTTGGGGCCTGGCATTATAGCCATATGACTTTACCATCCATTATCGACCCGGTAAGCAAAATGGGAGTGCCGGTTATCACGACTAACAGAACTGGAGAAGGGATCTGTGAGTACTCCCCCAGACATCCACTGTGTGGTGGAACCTATCACCAATTTTGTCTATTTTGCCCCATTTCATATGGTTTTTTTCCCCTTTTCCGTTCGGGAGTTATTGTATGCGTAACTCCGCCATTGGTATTGGAGACCCCATGTAGGGGTCTGTGCATAAAAGCTGTGTGTGGTCGGAAATAAATCAGTTGACTCCCAGAACTATGTTTCGTCTGGTTACTGGGGTAATGGATGTCTGCTTAAGTTAATGGTTCCAGTCTGGCTGAGAATACTACATTCTCTAAACACACACTCTCTACAACCCCTACACTATATCACCTGTACACACATAAACTACAGCCCCAATGCACACTATGACCCATATACAAATACTCTCTCACTCTCTACAGCCCCAAGCCAACAGATATCACACCACAAACACAACACAACTGCAAGCATTGTAAGTTTTTTATGTTTTAAAAAAAATACTGTTATCATTAGGAGGTTTGTTCAATAAAAATTGAATTGTACTCTTTATAGTTGATAACATGAGATTTATGCTGACTGTTATTTACATCAATTATTTAGGTAAATGAGAAAAATATAATTTGCATAATAATTTGGAACTGGGTGTATGTGTTCATTCTTATGTTTCCGTTACCCTGTGCCCATTATATGTACAGGGTGTGTATAATGTAATTGTTTATTGTTAAATGTTTTGTAGTGTGCCCCACTTTGAGAGGGGATGTGCTTGTCATTGTTGATGACAAAACACCCATCTCTGGCCCCGTCCCCTTCTCAGTGGGCTGCTGTGATTAAAAAATGCCTGGGCTGAATTTTATTCCCAGTCCAGCCACGGTCATACCACTTGAAAACTGTGTTCCAATGTTTGACCCAGAACTGGGGGATGGTGCCCATACCTTAATGTCACCATAAGAACTACAAAGACATGCAGCTTAGATTGCCCTTTAACCTCCTTTACTGCAAGAAAACATGTTGTTGGATAGTGTTCATTATCTATGCTCATTACCTCTCTGTATTCATATATACTTCTGAACAGGCCATATGTGATATCCATGGTGTGTTTGCAGACAGAGTCCTTGTATGTTCAGATTTTGACCCCGAATTATAGTTTTTTTCCTCAGAAGACTCATTATCTGATGGTGGCCCAGGAGCCAAATATGTGTCAAAGTGCACAGTTGCCTGTAGTGTGACCAAAGTAATCTAAACAACTTGATATCCCGTTGTCACAATGCCATGGGTAATATTTTGAGCAGAGATTGACTGCTTCGGGTGTTCACACCATGCTCAGTTGTTCATAACAGTACGAGAATAAAACCTTATGTTAGCACTATTTTGAATCTTAAACAACTGATGAGAATTGTTGTAATGTTTTCAACAGCTTAAGTAAGAATTAAATTTTTATGTAAGTATTTAATTTTAAGACTATTTGATTTGCCTATTGCACTGCTCAGTATAGTATATTCGCAAAAGTACATGTCCTAGTGTACAGACTGGCTGAGCATGTTGAGAATTGTGGGCAACTTTACCTGGGGTACAAGAAACTGAATTCATATGATGTTTGAAATCGAGTGTGGTGTTTGACATTGTGGACAGGGATTTGAATTTAGATATTGCTCAGAGGCTAGCTGAGAATTCTGTGAACTGTAGTCCATAGCAGCTTGTGAGCCAAAGTTTGTCTAATTTAGGTGTTAACCCTTTTTTTATCTCCATATCTTTCATGCCATTATGTTCTTATGTTCTTTCCCATGTACTTCGTAATACGAAAAATAATGTTATGGGGATTACCTAAAATCCCTGTGTTATTTATTTATTTATTACAAAATAGTAATATGGGAAAAAAGCCAAATGTTACACAATCACACAAAATAGACTTAAACTTACATAGCATTACATAACAAACTATACAAAATCATGCTAACTGGATGATATCTGAGTGACACTTTATGGTCTCTTGGCGTCGCCCCAGTTTATTGAGCCACACACCCTTTCACCCAAAGGCTAAAAGACAGGATGTTAAAGTTTTTTAAAAAGCAAATTAGCAGTAATACTATTGGAGAACCAGCTATATATATGATATATTATATTTTTTATAGATCAAGACTTTATTTTTCCATTGAATATAGAAACATGAAAAATGGCAGTAGCTATTCTACTTGTGACGGTAGTCACCACCACTACAAGCTTATACAGACACTTTACACCCTGTTCCAAATTATTATGCAAATTCTATTTAAGTGTCACAAAGAGTATATATTTTGTTTTTCAGTTTAACTCATGGATGGCATTGTGTCTCAGGGCTCTTTTGATCACTGAAAACAATCTCGGACACCTGTGATAATTAGATTGCCAGGTGAGCACAATTTTTATAGATCAAGATTTTATTTTTCCATTAAATATAGAGACATGAAAAATGGCAGCAGCTATGCTACTTGTGACGCTAGTCACCACCACCACGAGCGTATACAGACACTTTATGTGTTTATTCTTAAGTTTCAGTTACCTTGTGCCTATTGTAGGTACAGGGTGTGTATAATGTAATTGTTTATTGTTAAATGTTTTGTGTGCTCGCCTGTTCTGCTGATTGGTTCGACCAACTAGATGGATTTGGCTGTGGAGTCTGTCTGTACAGCACCATCCGTTGACTGTGAGGATCTTGAAACAGCTATTTGCACTACCTGAATAGAAAGGCTTGTTAATTTGCATATTCAGGTAGATTTGCATATTATTAATTCTGTAGGTGAGTTATTTCTTGTTCGTTATGAATATGTTATTGTGCTATTAGAGTTGCTATATGTTTTCCCTTATGATTTGGTTATTTGCATTACATTGAGTTTGTCACCATATGTTTAATGGCAAAGGTAGTGGAGATGATACTTGCTTGAAAGGAGAGGGCTGCAGCCTGGTCAAGGGTGGAAGTCCTCAGCGATAGCAGTCACGCCTTGGCGATTGGGGCTGAAGCGTTCCAATAGCAGCTAGGAAGTTGACCTGGAGGAGGTACTCAGTAACTCGAAGAATAGTTATTTGAGAACAAGAAAGCTGACACACCCCTTTAGTTGTCTGCAACGACCTCTTTAACGTCAGCCAAGTTCTAATTTCTAGAGAACGACCATAACTCCTGGTCTACAATACAGGCACCATGTTGGTGGAGTTGAATGGGGCAAACTTTGAGTCATGCGATCCATTATCACATAGAATGTAATGGCAGATAAGAACCATTGGCCCATCTAGTCTGCCCAATTTTCCATACTTTTATTAGTCTCTGGCATTATCTTATTGCTAGGTTAGCCTCATGCCTATACCTTGCATGCTTAAACTCCTTTACTGTGTTAACCTCTACCATTTCAGCTGGAAGGCTATCCCATGCATCCACTAACCTCTCAGTAAAGTAATGCTTCCTGAAATTATTTTTAAACCTTTGCCCCTCTAATTTAAGACTATGTACTCTTGTTGTGGTAGTTTTTCTTCTTTTAAATATAGTCTCCTCCTTTACTGTGTTGATTCCTTTTATGTATTTAAATGTTTCTATCATATCTCCCCTGTCTCGTCTTTCCTCCAAGCTATACATGTTAAGATCCTTTATCAATATCCTTCCAATGTGGCATAAGAACATTTTCCAAAATCCTTTCAATGGGGAGCAACTCCACCAAATATGTACAAAATCTCCTATTCCCAAATTACATCTCCAACATATGTCAGATATATTTTGGTCTATTTTATTTAAATGACTAGGAACCAAATAAAGTCTAATAACCCCGGGTCTTCCTCAATCTGTTTCGGTACCAAGTTACATTTATTTAGCAAATTTTTCATATCTTTTCCTTTTAGTAAATTTCCCAATTTGCTATGGATTTCCCAATTTTCTTTACTTAAGGCTTTATTTAGGTAGCTTTTAACTCTCATATAGTTGTATTTTTCTGTTTCTGGGAGACCAAATTTAGTACATATTTGTTTAAACGAATTTACATTTGGTCCTGTCATTATGTCTTCTATAGTATGTATGCCGACCTTACTCCAATTTTTTAACTTTAGATCTTGCATATCAGTTTCTAATATTGAAATCGGCAAGATGTTAATTATACGATTTCTGAGTCCTGCCCTTTTTTTTTATCTTACACTATGTTTCCCTGCTTGATTCTATCACCACGCTATCAGATCTTGGTAGAGTCCTATCTGTATCTCTCTCCTGGGTAAACCAAAAAACCGTTACTAAGTCTCTATTGTCTGACAGTTCCTTTTCCACCGCATACCACCTTTCTAATTTGGACCATGTCAATTGCAAAATAATACTTTGGAAAAGAACACTCGCTCTGTAATACTGCTGTATTACTGGAAACCCTACCCCTCCTTGGGATTCATTAATCCAAAGGAGTTTTCTTGCCATTCTTGGCTTTTTCACTTGCCATATAAACGTAGAAAAGGACTGTTGGATTAATGTCAACCAGCTATCAGGGACACTCAAATGAATCATTCTAAACAAGTACAACCACTTCGGCAAAACATAAGACTTGATTATATTAATTCGACCCCACCACGGAAATTCCAAAGATTTCCACTCCCTTAAAAGATTGTTCATTTTAATAAGTAGTGGGTGAAAATTAATCTCCACTATCTTTAGTGGAGCTGTACAGATATTGATTCCGATGTAACTAAATGAGTTTTCAGCCCAGACGAAATCAAACCTCTTTCTAATCTCATTCTTTTCTTCTTTATTTACATTGCTAGCTAGAATAATTGATTTGTCTGTATTCATTTTATACCCAGAAACCTGGGAAAATGTTCCAATAGTTTCCATAAGTTGTATTATTGATTGTGAAGGTTTTTGTACTGTTAAGATGACATCGTCGGCATAAAGGTTTATTTATATATTTTCATTTTTGGGATCAAAACCTACTATTCTCTCTTCTTGTCTTATGGCTAATGCCAGGGGCTCTAATGATATTATATAGAGTAATGGAAACAGGGGGCACCCCTGTCTTGTTCCATTAGACAATGTGAACCACTCAGACCTAAAGCCATTTCCCATAACTCTAGCCGAAGGTACAGTATAAAGAGCAGAGATATGTTTGAAAAGTCTTCCCTCTAACCCAAATGCCTGAAGGGATTGCCTCAGGAACTCCCAGTTGACCCTGTCAAATGCTTTAACCTGTTACATATCTTAGTATCATCAGCAAAAAGACATACCTTACCATCAAGACCTGTAATATCACTAATAAAAATATTAAAGAAAATGGGTCCAAGTACAGATCACTGAGGTACTCCACTGGTGACAAGCCCATGCTTGTTGAATATACTCCATTGACTACAACGCTCTGTTGCCTGTCGCTCAGCCACTGCATTACCCATTCAACAATATTGGAATCCAAACTTAAAGATTGCAGTTTATTTATAAGCCTTCTGTGACAAACCGAACTTTGTCAGGGGCCCCTGGAGGAGCCTGCTAGCCAGCCTCCTGCCCACAGACTCTGGGCACTGCAGGAAATCCTGTAAAAGATTGTTCAAATTGCTTGGTTCATGTGATTTCCCTATACCGTTCGAGAACTGAACAACCGCACGAACCAGGGACCACCCGGGAGCTTGTTAACCCCTTTTTTTACGTTCATTGTGCTGTATCTTTTTTGTGCCTGAGAGATAATTTAATTATATGTTTGTGTGCTCAGGTAATTATCTCTCCAGCACAGGGGAGGAGTGTGTGGAATGCTTGCTTGTAACTAGTCTCCTCTCAGGTCCCGTAGGGAGACTACTAACGGATAAACTCAGCCAGAGTATAGGGGATCCATGACACCTTTTATGTGCAACAGTGTCAAAAGCCTTACTGAAATCTAGGTAAGCAGTTTCTACCGCACCACCCTGATCTATTATTTTAGTTATCCAATTAAAAAAATCAATAAGATTAGTTTGGCATGAACTCCCTGAAGTGAACCCATGTTGTTTGTGATCTTGAAATCCATGTTATTTTAGATGTTTAACAATCCTATCTTTTAACATGGTTTCTATTACTTTCCCTACTATTCAAGTAAGGCTTACAGGCCTATAGTTCCCTGACTCCTCCCTACTAAACATTTGCTAACTTCCAATCTTCTGAGACTACTCCTGTTAACAATGATTGATTAAATAAATCTGTTAATGGTTTTGCTAGTACACCACTAATCTCTTTTAATAACTTGGGGTGTATTCTATCAGGTCCCATTGACCTATCTGTCTTTACTTTTGACAGTTGAAATAGAACATCTTCCTCTGTAAACTCACATGTAACAAATGACTCATTTGTCCTTTTTCCTAACTGAGGTCCCTTTCCTTCATTTTCTCCTGTAAATACTGAACAAAAATATTCATTGAGCCAGTCAGCTAGACTTTTATCCTCTTCTACATACCTTCCTTCTTTTGTTTTTAATCTAACTAATCCTTGTTTTACTTTTGTTTTCTCATTTATGTATCTAAAAAATGTTTTGTCCCCTTTTTTTTTTACTGACTGTGCTATTTTCTCTTCTGTGTGCAATTTGGAAGCTCTTATAACTTGCTTAGCATCTTTCTGCCTAATCTTATAGATCTGCCTATCTTCCTCACTGTTAAGACACTCCCGGCATAAATGAGTGAAACCGCCGCTTAGTAGAGCTTCCCCTTTCAGGGATACAGGCATGACTACTTTAGAACCCCAAACTCATGAACTGGAACCAGGGGAATGCTCCTAACTCCCGAACAGCGTACCAGTAATACTTCAAACCCCTTAACGGTAATTCCACGAATCGCTGCTAACAGACGAACAGACACAGCATCCAAGCGGCTTACATTCCCAGCAGTCAGTCTCTATCCGTGTATAGTAAATCCCCCCCCAAACACGAGACCAAGCTCCGTATTAAGGGTAAAACAAGATCTGGCTTTAATAAGGGCTACCGACCTGTATTCATGCAGGTCTCCCACTTGGTGGACACTCCCCTAGGGGACCAAGTGGGAGACTGTAACAAAGGACAGACAGGTATTAGATCAGGACACACAGTGCACCCTGGCTTCCTCCTCTCTGCCCTGGAGATAATTTAGAAGTAATTCAATTATCTCCCAGGACAAAGGCAAATCGCCATTATACACGTGGGGACACCAGAATAGAAATTACTGTTAAAATATACAGTGTCACAAATGTCACAATAAATACAGACATATAACATGCCCCCAGATAGCTCAGGTCTGAGCGCACATTATTAGGTGAATGGCGCTCAGACCACACGAATACAGTTGAATCGCCATGGAGCCAAAGTCTTTAATTCCATGAACAGGCTCCATGGCATGCTATCTGGGTACCCTCACATGTAATACAGTATAAGACATAAAGTCCCGAATGCCCCATTGTTCGGTTCACGAACGGAGCTGAAGACCCGTAGGCTGGTAGTTCAGCGGTGCTTGGGAGGAAAAGTGTGCGCTTTTGGTGAACTGAGGCTGGGCAGAGCACCGCTGGCTGTCCGGGGGAACTTCCATAACACCGCCACCATGTGGCGGCTATGTGTAACCGCGACCACCCAGTTAATTAAGCTGCGGTTAACCGCAGATACTGGGTGGTCAATTGACTGCACACGCCAACTTCCCAGTGGTCGCGTATTCGGTAGTCTTTCGGGAAACAATACGGGGAAACAGGGGGACTGTACGGGCAAAGAAATAACCGAACAAACAGACGAATGGAGGGAGGAGAAACATAATCCAAAGACAGACGGTTCTGTCACACTCATTTTTTTTTTTTATTATTATTATTAAATGCTAACTTTTTGTTTTTTATTACTTTGGCCACATCCGTGGGGTACCACAGTGGTTTCTTATTTTGTTTTGCTTTAACTGACAGGCCTAATGTAATTTTCTGTTGCCTTCGACAGTGCAACTTTTAAATAATCTCAGTGCCCATCCCCATGTCCTGCCATGGGAATACTTTCATACAGCTGACCTTAAAACTTGCTTAATTGGCTCATGAGTTAACCAGATAGCTTTAATCATTAGACTGGCCTTTGAAAGTCCAGTCCCTATAAATGTATTATGTTCATTCATTAATCATTACTGTACCCACTATTATTGCTATAATATAACCACCCCAGTCAAACAAAGTAGCAATTAGAAACACATGACCAGATTTTTAATTTGCATGCAAACCATATAATCAGTTTAAATAGTTATAATTCATTACTTTCAGGTAGCCCAACTTTCAGGTAGTCTTTTATTTATAGCTATTTTTGCAAAATATAGCATGTTTTCTATGACAGATAATTTATTTATAAAATATTTTACCAGGAAGGATACATTAAGATTTCTCTTGTTTTCAAGTATGTCCTGGGTCCACAAAACATTGCATCGATACAGCAGGGTACAATAAAATACAAAAACAATATTAATACACAATATATACAAAATTTAACACAGAACAGGTAAGAAATATATAATCAACCATGATAGAGGGATCTCTTAAAGGATTTTAGGTTTTGGGGAAGATTTGAAAGTGTGCGGGAGGTCGTTCCATAATTGCGGTGCTCTGTAGGAAAATGAGGATCGAGACACTTTCTTTTTGTATTGAGGTAGACTAAATAAAATGCTGGTACTGTATCAGAGGTTATAGGAGGTGGGGACAGCCAGTGAGAGCATTCTGCTCAGGTAGGGTGGGAACTTCCAGAAAAGCTCTTAAACACAAGGCCTGAAGGATGAAGGGTGTGTAAAATCTGGTTGGGATCGTCAATGTTAAATCTTCTTAATTTCTTCTTTTCTTCAGTTGATTGATATATATACGTCTTTTGTATATATAGTCTTGGGCCAAATATAATGCTCGCAACATTAATATATGTCTATATTAATTAAAAGTACTAATACGCAATCTGACTTACGGTTTCTTCAGGTTTATTCTTAGTTACGGATACATAATAAAACAACAAAGGATGTTACAGGATAGTGGACATTCAACAGCAGATGGTAATTGCTGGACTCCTGACGTAGAGTTACATCTTGTTCAGGAAAGAGAGCCGAGAGCCAAGAGAGTGCCAAGAGCCAAGAGACCTTGTGTCTCTTTGTTCAGTTACTATATAGAAGTGCCATAATGACGTCAGACTATAACTCTAGCCATATAAGGACAAAACCCCCAAATCCACATTCCAGAGCTCTCATATAAAGAAAGCCTTGTGACTTATACCATCTGTTATGTCAATCCACACATCCATATATAATCAATAGAAACATAGAATATGCAATATTCTACAGGGTGCGTCCGGATTCCAGCCACAGCCAGTTTTGTTCTTTTAGCATGTCACAGTGGTGTACATACCAGGGTCGCAGGGGTCGCGACTGCGACCGGGCTCGGCCCACCAGGGGGCCCGGCCGCCCCTGTGACCCGGTATGAACCCACAGCGCCAGCCTCTTCTCCTGGGGGGCCCAGGAGCCGGCCACCTCAGGCCCCCCCCGAGGCTGGCCCTGCTGACCCCAGCGGGTGGGCTGTCTGGGCGGGCGGCTGGTGCGCGAGGGAGCACGTGCCTCTTCAGCTCCCTCGCGCACCGCACTGATGCCGGAGCCGGAAGATGACGTCATCTTCCGGCGCCGGCATCCCTACGCGGCGTGCGAGGGAGCTGAAGAGGCACACAGGGGAAAGTGCTCCCTCGCGCGCCGCCCGCCCAGACAGCCCGCCCGCCCAGTGACCGGCCGCCCAGGAGCCCAGCAGCACCACTGGACCCCAGGGAATCCCCCCAGCACTCCAAAAGGTAAGGAGGCTGGGGGGATTAAATTTAAAAAAAAAATGTGTGTTTGTGTGTTAGTGTGTGTGTTAGTGTGTGTGTGTGTTAGTGTTTGTTTGTGTTAGTGTGTGTGTCAGTGAGTGTGTCTATTATTGGGTGTGTGTCTGCTAGTGAGTGTGTTACTGTGTGTGTCTGTTACTGAGTGTGTTTGATGTCTGTTAGTGAGTGTGTGTTTGTCAGTAAAAGTATATGTTTTGTAAGTGAGTGTGTATGTATATCTGTCGCTGAGTGTGTGTGTCTGTTAGCTAGTGTGTATGCGTCTGTTCGTGAGAGTGTGTGTGTGTGTCTTCAGCATTTACCTTTCTCCAGCGTCGGACTCCCCAGTGTCCGACTCTCAGCTCCGAATGCACATGCACGGCAAGAGGCGCGTGCGCATTTAAACCGCCCATACGAAAGCATTACTCAATGCTTTCCTATGGACGTTCAGTGTCTTCTCACTGTGATTTTCACAGTGAGAATCGCGGAAGCTCCTCTAGCAGCTGTCAAATTTTCGCACCAGGGCCCCATGGGTCATGTGTACGCCACTGGCATGTCACAATCGTGGGTAAGACATATTTATACTGTGGAGGAGTACAGGAAAAATGTTAGACATTATTGTGTATAATCAATAGGCTAAAAGAGTGAAAGCTATTATTTTGGGTTCACTTCTTGAGCAATTTAAATTATACCACACGAAAATGGGCAACATTTTTCCTGCACCCAGAAATTAATGACCCAACCTCATCATGTCAGTTTCATGATGGATTGATTGATGTAAGTATGGAGTGAATACCGTGTGTTATTGTGTGTGCTAAGGCTAAAGGAGTATAAAAAAATTGATGTTTTGATGTGTACAGTCGTCTAATGACGAGTGACGGATGAGGTCCGTCACTCAGGGGAAACGCTTAACGACGAGTGACTGACCTTGTCCATCACACGTTAAAATTAACCCCGGATCGCGGTGATCGTGGCGATCGCAGGGTTAATGGTGCTCCGGTCTGCCTCTGTATTAGCACCCGATAGTGCTGCCCAGCACATGTGCTCGCTCTGACAGCCTGTCAGAGCGAGCATATGTGCTTAGTATACTTACATTCAGCCTCCCTGCACTTCCTGGTTCTGTGTGAAGTGCAGGGAGACGGATCAGTGATGATCCTGCCCCCTGTTAAAAAATAAATAAAGTTAATTTAAAATCCCACCCCCCTTTACCCATTGTAATAAAAAATTAACCCCTTCCCTACCAATACACCGGCCAATCTTAGACCTGCACAATGAGAGTGGCATCCTCACTACTGGCGTTTTCCTACTTACTTATTCACGCTATTGGTCTAATACTTTTTCTCCGCGGCTTCTTTCCTGTATCTGTGAAGTCTCAGTCCAGGAAAAACACCGCTTCCGAGATCCCAGCTGAGCCATCTGCAGGAACAAAGTCAAATTGGACTCATCTGCCACCTCCTCTTTTCAAAAAAACTGTAATTCTTCTGATAGATTCTTTGAGGCAAGGCTTTATGTTTGGACTGAAAGGAAAAATACATATGCCTTATATGACACAGCTCCTAGAAAAAGGCACAACACACAGTTTTATTGCAAAAGCAGCGACCCCAACTGTCACAATGCCTCGAATCAAGGCTCTAATGACTGGCAGTATACCTGGATTTATCGATGTTGTCATGAATCTAAACTCTCAAGAGCTGTTGGATGATAATTTGTTATGGCAAGCAAAAGAAGCTGGCAAAAGGGTAGTATTTTATGGTGACAATACATGGATAAAACTATTTCCAAACCATTTTGTAGAACATGATGGGACAACATCATTTTTTTGTTTCTGATTTTACAGAGCCATCACCTCCAAATTTCCCCTGCTACCTCTTGTCTCAGATCCCCACGGTATCCTTTTGATTGTAAGCTCACGGGCCATCTTGCTAAGCACTTTGTATAAAAGAGCTCCAATGGCTAGATATCCTCTTACGGGCACAGCTCTCTCTACCTCTTGTATTTGTCTGTGTATATTGCACGTTCTCCACTTATTGTACAGCGCGGCGGAATCTGTTGGTGCTTTATAAATACCAGTAATAAATAAATAAATAAAATTGATCACTCACTACAGTGATCAATTGGCAGAGATAACATTTTACTGTCATCTGATTTTTTATTTATTTTTTAACCCCTGAGGGATATATATTTTTTTAACCCTCAGGGGTTAAATTTATTTAAATAATTAATTTAAATATTTTAAAATTATATATTTAGCTAGCTGGGGTGGGTAGAAGTTAGTGGGGAATTGTGGGATTTGGTGTTAGGCTAACTAGGGGTTAACGTTAAAAAAAAGTTTTAAAAATAACTTGAAAAAGTTAAAAATTAAGCTAAAAAAAAGTTTTAATGACGTTTAAGTAAAAAATAAAAAAAACACCCCCCTTTACCCAGTCCAAATAAAAATTAACCCCTTCCATGCCAGTCGATCACTGCCTAAGGTGATCAAAATACCGATCACAGTATTATAGTGTGATCTAATTTTTTTTAACCCCTGAGGATTAACTTTTATTTATTTTTTAACCCTCAGGGGTTCAATTTATTTAATTAATTAATTTAAATATTTTATAATTATATATATTGCTAGCTGGGGTGGGTGGGAGTTATGGGAAAATGGGGAATTTACTGTTAGTGCTGCTTACTGCTAGTTAGGGGTTAACGGTAAAAAAAAAGCTTAGAAAAATGTTAAATCTGTAAAAAAAGTTTCAAGACAGTTTAGGAAAGTTTAAAAAAAATGAATAAGCAAAACAAAAGTTTAAAAACTAGTTTTTAAAAGTAAAAAAAGTTTCAAAAAGTAAAAAAATACATTTAAAAACGCTCATTACCACTACACCTGGAACAAACTAGAGAAAAAATGATCCCACGCTAAGTTTCAAAATATGCCTTTTGAATTACCCCAAGGTGTATTCTTTAATAAATAGTATGTGTTTGTGGGGAAGTTTCAATAACCAACTGTCTAAACTACTCCAAATTGGAACATGGACACAGCGTAAAACTTCAAAGTTAGAAAAAAACTGAATGGCTGCGTCTCAAATGCGCCCCTTCAACATCCAGATATAGCTGGCAAAGGTACATACGGGGGTGTTGCTGTACTCAGCCGAGATTGCTGAGCAACATATGAAGTATTATACACTGGTAACACACATAAGGTTTGCAAATTTTACTGTGCAAACTCACTTTGTGTGTCAAAAAGGCAGAAAAAATGCTTATTACCACTACACCTGGTACAAGCTAGCGGAAAAATGATCCCACGCTAAGGTTCAAAATATACCTTTTGAAATACCCTGGGGTGTCTACTTTAAGAAATGGTAGGCCTTTGTGGGTTAGTTTGAATTTAAAACCTGCGACGATGCTTGGAAATTGCACATAGGCCCAGCGTCAAAATTCAAAGTTCGGTAAAAACTGATATGGCTTGGTCTCCTATATGGCACTGTAGCTTCACGAAATAGTGCCAAAGACATTCATTTGGGGTGTCTTTTTACTCAGAAGACTTAGCTGAGCATAATTTGGGAGGTTTGAACTTAGTGGCACATGTCAAATATACAAAATGCCCAGCAAAAAAGTAATGCGGATGTAAAAAATGCCCCAAATTATTTTTTACCACAAACTTTGACATACATTGGTGAAAAAATGGGGGCATGTTAAGGCACAATATGCACCTTATGAGCTACCCTGGAGTGTCTACTTTTACAAATGGTAGTCCTTTGTGGGTTTTTTTGAACAGTCAAACTACTATAATACCCCAAATGGAAGCATAGGCTCATTATATCCGTCTCTCAAAATTCTACTGTGAATGCTGAAAAAGACAGGTATCCTATATGGCACTGTAACTTCATGAAATAGTGCCAAAGACATACAATGTCATTTTACTCAGCAGATGTAACTGAACACAAAATAAAACTTTGTACAGGAATAGCACACACCAACTTTACAAAATACACATGAGAATTTCTTTGTTATAAGTTTGTGTGCCAAAAACCCCCAAAAATAAAATTTTACTCCAATATTTAACAGAGGTTGGCGGTGAAATGGCTACGTAGAAAGTGTCAAAACAACCTTAGGTAAATAGCCCGTGATGTCTACTTTATATAAATTAATACTTTTGTGTGGCAATTTTGTTTTCTTTTATGGCTATTAAGCTTACAAGCATACCAAATTCTAAAATCGCTCCATTAAAAGTTTATTTTACTCCTTGTGCTTTGTGACCTGTAACTACCAAAAAAAACCCGTAAAATCCCAGACACATTATATATTCTGTAAATCAGAACAACTAAATGGATTTAATTGTGCACGCATTATTATTGCAAAAACTGTAAAAAACATACATTTTAATTTTTTTTTTGCATTTTTCTGTATTTTTTTTACAATAAATAAGCATTTATATATATATATATATATGTTACATCAAATTAAAGCCCTTTCTGTCCTTTAAAAAAAAAGGTATATAATATGTGTTGGTGCAATAAATTAGTAAAATGCAAATTGCAGTTAAACGCAAACAGCAAAAAATGAAAGAAAATGCTGTTGTCATTAAGTGAAAGACAAGCTTTTGAAGCTCTGTCCTTAAGGGGTTAAGGGACTACCTGGCAACCCAGGCAGTCCCCCTGCAGGCAGTGATTTATACTGTCGATGCAGTCATATGATTGCTTTCTGCTAGATTCTCCCCTTTGGAGACAGGTACAAGCCCTGGACAGATTGTCTGGATCCCAAGTCCAGGAGTACAAGCACTTTAAATCTTGCAATGCTGGCTTAAATGTATCCAACATTCCAGACTCTTGGCTTGGTAGAGTCGGTGCAAGCAGTTTCAAGACCTGTACCCAGTTGTACCTGGGATATGACGAATGTGGTACCCTTTGTCCTCAATAGGGAATAGGACTCAGTGACATAAATGTATTGTGTAAGTTGTTTTGTGTAGTTGAACTGATATATCTATGAAATTAGTTTTTTTTTTTTTATATGTATAATGTGGATTTTATGTTTGTTGCATATACCGCTCAATAAAAAACGTATCTAAAAAAAAATAAATTGAAAAAAATAAGCATGAGAGCTACTCCCTGGAGTAGACAAAGCTCAAGAATGATGTAATGTGTGAGGATTTGCACAAAGAGAACATTAAAAGTGATTGCTTTTTCTATCTATGATAATTAAATGGAATCCTGCTAAGCTACTTAATTTAATAAAGTTAAAGCAGCTCACAAGCTGACTGTGAGCTACGCTTTCTTTTACATGAAAAGCGAGGTTGTATGCGACAACTGCAATACCAAACTTCTACAACAAAAGATTACACTTTTGAACACTAGTGCAGCACTAATACAAAACACATTGTAGTTTATATATAACAGAAAATAGCATAATATAAAAATAGGGTTGCTAGGGTTCAACCAGCAGATCATTGTTCTCCCCACAGCCTTTTATAACAGCTGCTATGATGTCATGCATTCTCAACCTACAAAGTTGACACTATCATCATTTCCCACCTCCTTATTAGAAGTGGCAGGAGCTTCCTAGTGTGTTTACCTGGTTTCCAATGGAAAGATATTGCCACTTAACAAGCTCCTGGATCAGGCGTCATCCTGATCACCTGATCACCTTGCATGATATGCACAAATATGTGATTTGCATGATATGCACAAATGTGTGATTACATCACCAAATACCCCAACAACCAAATCTGCTTAGAGATCACACATGGACCCTGATCCTTTTCCACAAGTGGGATATAGCTGTAGGAAAATCTGTCAGTGTGGTCGAATGGCAGAAAATGTGTGATTTAGTCCATCACTGTGTAATAGCTAGCAAGATTTAGGAGTCTGCTTACAAAGTCCTCTTGCTGTAGTATATGACTCCTGAAGATCTCTAGGCAAATAATCCAGAGTTGTCTGGTCTATGCTGGTGATGTCAGAGATTTTAAGGCTCTTTTCTCCACATACGGTGGGAATGTCGTAGCATAGTTCTTTTTTGGAGTGCTTTTGCATCTATTATCCAGAGGTTTACTGACAATCTGCGGCCGTTCTTCCCAGCACCAATTCAACCGTCCTGAATTTATTTTATTTTTGTAAGAAAATAATTTTTCTAGTCAACACATTAGGTGTACCTAGGTTGCATGGTTCCTAGGACAGAAATGTATTTTGGCTACCCTCCCACACACCCCCACAGCAATTATGCTACTGCCCAACAAACACATCTAGCTAGCTATCATCATTATTTACAGTGTTCCTAGATATCCAAGATTGCATGAATTGGGAAATTAAGAATATTTTTTTTACATATTTATTTGTTAATCAGTTGTCTAACACAATGTAGAGAATATTTTTTGTTTTTCTATGTATAGTGACACCAAGTAATGTTAGGCATGAGAGGTGCACTTTAAAGGGACACTATGTAAGAAATTATGAACCTCTTACAAGGATATTCTTTTAGGGAATGTGTGACTAATAAGACACAAACACAAGTGTATAATAAAATGTATTGTTAATATTGATTTAGGATACAGTTACAGATTTTAGGATATACACATTACACATTATAACCATATCTAGTCCAAAACCAAAAGATACATAGTAAAAGGGCAATACTTAAACATTTAAATGAAGATCTTCCCCTTGCGCCTTCATCTTTGGTAGTCTGGGACAGTCTCTCTCAGTTAACCATGGCACCACTGCTTGCTGTGCTGTCCTTCCCAAAAGAGACAAATAGAGAAAAGAGAGGAGCCATGCATGCATTAGTAAAATCACCTTTTCTAAAGGAGGAAAGGATTGGCCCGAGCACCTAACCAGTGATTTTACCACTAAAGTGTCAGGAATACATGTGTGTGTACCTGACAGTATAGTGTTCCCTTAATGGTGAAAATTTTAACCAGGCTCACTGCTATGCTGTATACCTACCACACCCTTCCATTGTAGGATGATATCATCTTCTCCGTTAGGCGCTTTCGGGCATCATCATGGGCACACTGACCAGTCTGCAGCAATGCATCCCCATACACAGCAAACTGCGATGCAATGTG